AGTGTAAAAAATAATAAGCACAGCTTGAACAATGAGCAGGGTTTAAAAAGGCTTGAGGAGGGGGGGGTGTGGCAAGCTAGGGATCTAGGCACACAGGGATTGGCTACTGACATCTGCTTGGTCTGCACCTCTGCTGCACAGATGGAGTAGGCACTAGAGGTTGGGGTGCCCTCTGGTGGCAAGATGGTGAAAACAAAAGTTTGAGCACTGAACATTTGATTAGAAACACCCACTTTGAAAAAAATACAGTACATAATCTTGATTGGTAACTCAACAAAATGGGACATAATTACAGTTATGTTGTGAATTTTAACAAAGCACTTTATGTACACTGTTAGGCAAGAGACATTTTTTCACTATCAGAAGTTACTGTACTGGTTACACTATACTGTAGCTTTAAAGGATAAAAAACGAGAAAAATGTAATCTGACAATGACACCTAGTATTATAGACTAGTACTTCTTGATTTTTGGTCTGGAAATTCTCAAACTACCAGTTTCTTTAATTCAGTGAGCAACTATTGTCAAAGAAAAAAAGACACAGAATTGAAACTCGCAAGGTTCATTTCCAATAGTCACACTAGTATTGCTTTACTAACAACAATATACTGTACCTTACAAGGCTGCCTAAGATTGTTCACAGCTCATATGATTTACAACACAAAACACCCACTGGTGAGTTAACACATCCAAACAAAACTACAAAAAAAAATCACCTCAAATATGAAAACAAGATTTGCACGAAACCAAGAGCACTTTACAGAGCTAGCTACTCAACTGAAGTTACTCACGCCAAAGTAACTTGTCTCATGGAATGAAAATAAAACTAACAAGAAAATGTGCTAATTTCCTGGGCTACAAAGGTTATACAAGATATCCTCTTGTTTGTTTTCTTCATGGCTGCTTTTAATATTGAGGAGCTCACACCTACTTATTTAATTATTCCAATGGTAGAAGTTGTCACAGGTGCTCATTTATTCCCTTAGTCATTGCTGATGTGCTGGGTGTGGACCTAGACTTCAAAATATGATTAGAACAACGACAGCAATCTTCACATTGTTTTCTTAGACACCTATCAATTAACACAGTTGTCAAGGACACAGAGAAAACAATAGACGATGACAAAAGATGACAAAACCCAGCATAACCCTATACTTGCCAGTCATCACATAATACCATCCCTGAGTCATGCAATCAACATACACTCATAGCAAAGGTTTATATGGAAATTAGGGACAAAATGTAGATGAAGATAAACATCACAGACTGATACTTACCAATATGTGAATTGGATACCAATCATCCAATATTGACCCTGGGCTGATACCTTTTAGATTACAATACACTAAGTTCTAAGCATCAAGTATTTTTCCAGAGTGTCCACTAGTATTCACTGCTTTACAAACAACTTCATTATTATTATTATTATTATTATTAATACAGCTTTGTTAAGGTGTAGTTTCCTAATCATTGTTATACTTTGTTCTTCTCTACACATCCATGAAGTTAAAGGATGCTTATAAATCTTATTAATCTATCAAGACTAAGTGATAATTTAAAACCAAATGCCTAACGGTTCAGTGAAAAATATAAAATTGTGTTTTTTTCTGCCATATCTCTAGACAGCAGATAATCCAGGTGGATGCTGCACATTGGTGGTGGTGGAGGGGAGTCCCCATTACCTGTAAAGCGCTTTGAGTGGAGTGGTCCATTAGCACATCCCTTAATGAGAGAAAATAAAATGTTCTCTGGATGTTTGAACAAAATGTTGGCAGCCCTGTGAGGCCTTAATCTCAGCCCATTCATCTATCTTGTGTGTAATCTTTTTTGCTACCTTTTATCTTGGCCATTAGAAAATTTCTCATCTACACCTCTGACAGAGACCTACAGGGAAAGAAAACATTCTTACTGTGTTTTTCAACAGATACTTTTAAATCACATATCAAAGTTCAAAGATAATTCGCCTTGATGAGATTTATCCATTAAGTTAATTAAAGCAAAAAAAGTGGTCCACAAAGAGTTCATTTAAAAAAATTATTCAACAAGAGGCCATCAACATTTGATTAAATAATGTAAAACAAGGGCTTCATTACAGCAACCCGATTACAGAATTCTGTTTTTACTTGGTTCTCCTTTTGCTTATATTTTTGTTCAGGAAAGCATCTACATACCATATTTTGGATATACCTGTACTTGTGTAAATACTATACTTAAAATAGCAACATCTGTTAGATAATCTCCTAATTAAAGAATTAGAGCAATTAAATTTCAAACTGAAAGATTGTGATTTTGTGTTTTATTTTTAGATGGTAGCAGGCATGGGGCTTGTACTTTTACTATATTTTGTACTACATTTACACATTGGTTTGTGAATTTGAATCTCTAACAGTTGCCATCAATCACTCCACTCCAATTAAACAAAATCTGAGTAAGTGAAACGAAAAAACATTTTAATAAAAAAAACATTTAAAAGAAGCTGAGAATCCATTCTACACATCAGAAGTAGATAATCTATTCAATAAAACAAAAACTGTAGTGTTATAATATAAAACATATCATTAAGCCATTGACATTGACCAAAACTTTTGTCAGGTATAGCAAAGCTGTAATCATCTGGCATTTTCATATTGCTGTTTAGTTGTATATTTTATTTAGCAGGATTGTTTCTACAATTTATATTCTGTCATTATCATAATTTGTACACAAAGATATGAACCAAGATAAAAGTAAATGACAAAACAGCTGCTCTAGCCCAGCTTTACAAGGGTGGACCTTTGCTGAACTAATAAGCACTTATCTGCAATGATGGGAGAGTTAAACAGCTCTACAGGAAGGTCTTGTCTTCGTGGAACATCCTCCAGTGTATTTATTAAACCTTAAAGCACGGTCAATAATATGGTGTTATTCTGAAAAGTGAATCCATAAATAAGTTTTTTTATGAGAACAAGAACATTCCAAATTAATATTTTAATTTGAAATTCTAATAATTGCAACAGCTTTGTTAATAAAATCAATATTTTGTTTTGAAAACACTATAATAAAATAAATGTATTTTCCCATTATGTATCCGTGTGACAAGCTGAGTTTTTTCACCTTCCATTTCCCCGCCCCCACAGTAAAATGTATGACTGAATTAAACCATACATTTTTTTAAAAAAAAGTTTCATAGAATGACACTGAACATCTGTAACTTCAAAACAGGATTTACAAATAACATTCATTTAAACTTGTAGTTTAAATTATTTTTTAATGTTAAAAAAGCTCAAATATTAAGCCAAAAACAAAGACTATAGTTATAATACATTTATACAATTATTTCTAGGTAGTGCTTAAGGTACGGCCTTAGTTACACTTAGTTACTGGAAAGCAAGCAATTTACACTTTATTTTATATATTAATCAGTCATCACAGTATAAGTCACTAACTTAACTAAGTAATCTCTTGTATACAAATTACAAAATTCTATTGTGTTGTGCAGTAGAGTGGAATTCAATTCATATTAGTAAACTGACTGTCCAAGTCTCAACAACCCTTCAATTTGCTCTTCCCCATTTCATGCTAGGCTTCCTTATATGGATAAAATGCACATATCACATAAACCTGTATGTCAATCAGAGGTGGAAGGAAACTGGAACACTAGGTGAAAACCAATTTAAACACAGGGAGAACATATGCTTGCCACGCAGAGGGGCTCTCCAGCCCTGAAACAAACCTAGGACACTGGACACAGTGATGCAGCATCAAAGTCTGTTTCTGTCTTTCTTTGGCCAGCAACAACAAAATGTTAAGATTTAATAAGCTTACTTCCATTGATTGCTAAATATTTAGCTAGTCTACAGTATAGGTTTGGTTTATTGTGAGATCACGGTTACATCTGGATGTTTGGTTGGCTTCGCAAAATCAAGACATTTTAGACAAAAATAATTGTTCACATATTTGTTTGATTTGAGCATCATAAAACTATTCAAAGCCTTAACTAGCATAAAACAAGCATTCAGTACTATACTAACAGTTTTACTGTTTTTAATACAGGTTAGTTTGGATGTTCCCTTATCATTTATATGATTTGCTCCTTTTAACACAGCCATAAAGCTAAAGGACCATTCAATCCAGAATTTAATATAAAATAAGCTGTTATCTAAAAAATTGATACAATTTAAAAAAGCAAAACATTCAGTGAAAAAAAGAGCAGGATAACAAAATGTGTATGAGGCTTTGCTCATGTTGAACTCATGTTCACCATAAAAATAATGGGATGTGGTAAGGGTTAAAATGTATACATGTAGCTGGGGGAGGTACTACAGAATAAAGAGTGCAGTGTGATTTAATTTAACATGTTGCACGTTACATGCAGTGAGTCTAGTATGTCTTTTAATAGCACAATAACCCTCTGCTTATGAGTAAAAAGACTACATGATGCCAATTTACTTCCTGTGTAAATATTTGCATCTTACATTGACATCTTTTCAGAATTTATTTTTGCTACAGTTGTTAATTAACATGGCTAACACCAATCTAGGCAGAAGAAACAAGAAAGTGCACATAAAAAGATAACACTTTGATGCCAAATCCCTTAGGGGAAGTAGCAAAACAATTTACACTGCCTGAAACTGTGACTGAAATATTTCTTTAAAGTACCTGTCATTTAACATTTCTGGTAGACAAATTTATCATTCATTACCTCAAATACTTAAGTTGTTAACTGTTAATTGCATACAGTATGGTAGACAAGGCATATTTAAATAAATGATTTTTGTGAAAAAATGTGAGATTCTTTAAAGCCAAGTGAGGATACATGCACAGAAATGTCACAGAGCTTATCATGAATTTGTGAAATATCTGTGACAAACACTTATTGCCATTATCACTGAAGTCATTTATCACTGGTACAGTATAAGACTATTGTCACACAATGACCTGAGGAAGGCCAAAGTTGTTCAATTTTATAAAAGAATGGCTCTGCCACAAAGCAATCAAGTAAAATAAGTGCAGTTTACTTACAGCACTCCCAGTCCCCCCACACCAGAAAAACAAAACCCCAAAAAGGAACAAAAATAAGTCTTCAAATAAAGACAAATCCACCTTTTCTTATTACTTTCTCTCTGATTTAAGTCACAATACCTAACTGACCAAAAACAACCCCCTCCCCCTCTGGAACAAACCATTTCTCCAGTTCATAATAATTTAACAAATTATACATTCATAATTAATTCCTTTCTAACCAAAGAACATCACATATCTTAATAACATAGTTCTTTTGATCCTGGTTCAAATAAACAATACAGAAAATAAACAATACAAACAATAAC